AACCCTGGGGGAAGCTGTTGGCCATGGGAGAGATCCAGGCCCCAGCTGATTGTCACAGCAGTTCCCCAGTCAACTATTGCTTTGATTGACTGATCCAAGAATGGGTTCTAAGTCTCATGTCCATGTCCTCGATTTAAAACTTCCTTCTAATAACCATTCAAGTGTAAAAATATGCATGTGTTGAGTCGTGAATACCAGCATTGTTGAAAATGGTGACACATAGGAAATATCGAATTATTCATCAGTAGAAATCTGATTAGGTATACTATAGTGTGCCAGTTGTTGACTTATGCTGCCCAGTTCCAAACTCATTCTTCATTGCCTGCTTTGCAAAATGGATCTGAGTCCTTTAAATCACTTCCTTTGCCAGCAGATGTTCAGCTCTGTCTGCTAGGCTTCTGCTTTTTCCAGCTCTCAACAGGGGCAGTGGCAGGATAGCCAGGCCCCAGAATGCAAGCATCTGTGTCTCTGCTCAGGTGGCTGCTCCCAACACCCTCTTCTCTGCCCCCTGAGTGCGCACACAAGGGCCCTGTCAGGTTGGCCATGTGGTGAGCCAGCCACCTGCACTTCGTTCCATGCAGCGTCCTGGAGCCTCCCCAGCCCCAGCTGCAGATAGTATGCTGGGTTCTACAGAGCTGGACTGAACCCCCCACCCCCTTTTCCAGCAGGGTCAACAGGGGCAGCTGAGTCCCTCTGCACACCTGCCCCCATCAGCCTTGACTCCTCTGAGCCCTGGGGCGTGGGTTCTGCTCTCCCAGGGATTGTGGACTGTGTCTGGCCTGACGACCCAGCAAACATCACCATCCAGGAGACTGTCACCTCATCTTCCTCGATGAAGTCTGAATTCCCTGCCTGCCTGCTTGGGCACTCTCCCTCAGCCCTAAGGTATCCTTTAGAATGATTTTTCCATCTCCATAGTTACTCTGCTATCATAGCTTAATAATTCTCTATATTAAGTTTCCTCTGTTTAACTTACTGTGTGTTTCTGTCTTCTGATTGGACTCCAACTGATATATAAAGTATTTATATAAAGTATTAGCATACAGTGGAATAGGGCGTGGCCATTAAAATGATGACATAGATGTATATGTCTATGATATTTTTGAGTGAAGAAAGATATGAAATTATATGTGTGTAACTAGAAGGAAGTTTGGAAAATATCAGTGGTTATTTCTGAGCTGTGGAATTTCAGATGAGTTTTACCTTCTTTTGCTTTTTATAGTTCTCATTTCTTTCCATGAGATGTATAATTTCACCCCGAGCAATAAAGTTAATTCCTCTCAACTCTCATAAAAACCCTAGTGAGATGCCCTGGGTCTTTTGGTGATGGTACCAATCCCAGTGTGGGTGGGGAGGGGTTCCCACACAACACCAAGCAAAGCTCCAGACACCAGCATTCAGGGGGTGATTGCAACGAGACAGCAGTGTGGGCTGGTGATCTGGGCCTGGCTGATCAGGGAATTAAATGCCTTTTGCCATTACAACTAAGTTAAAGGTGTACCCATGACCCAAGACAGACCAGCCATTCAATCCTGGGACTTCTGTACCAGTGTTGGCAAAAGTCCTCTTTCTATTCCTGCTGGACTTACAGCTCTAAGTCTTTAAACATGGCACTACAGGGCCATCGATGGAGAGAAACTGGCAAAAGGGAAACCTACACAGAAGACAAAGTGGCGGTGGGGGGCACAAATCATGAGATCAGCTCCTGAGACGGTCTGTCTCGGATCCAGCTAAGCCTTTTTTCCTGAGCAAAAAAAAATCCTTTGTTTTAATTATTCCAGACCCATATCTGTTGCTCACAATTGGAAGGATCCAGAATAAATGTTGAACTAAAAAGCTCTAAATTCCAAATTATTCTATTCAGCCTTGGTTAAAGTTACAACTAAAATCAGTATTTTAATGTTAGGGACTCTAAGAGAATGAAAAACTGTTGTTTTAGCAGTGTCTGAGGCTGCTAAGAACTGTGCTATCCAGTAGTACCTCTCCATGAGAGGGAAAGTGGAAAGAACATCGATAACACCGAAGACACAAGTATTAGCAGCTCTCTTCTATGTCTGAATATTCTGTATCTGGTGGTCATGCATGGATTTTCTTTTGCTGGAAGAGTTCCTGCTGCATCCTGGTTGTGAGTGGTTTATGGTCCCACAACCCCTAACTTGAAGACTGTGTACTTGTTTTATTCATTTGCTGTGGGAAACTGAATTTGAATTCACTTCTCAACCTTTTAACAACTATGCCATGAACCACCATGGCATAAACATGAAGATGATCACCTGAAACTAATATAATATACATCAACTCTACTTAAGCAATGATGGTACTAGTAATGTTGATAATGACTTATTGAGGATATACTCTGTGCCAGCCACAGAGCTGCATGCTTCATGTGCATTGTCTGACCTCCTAATAACCCACTGAAGGAGGCACCATTATTTTTCTGTTTTACAGATGAGAAACCTGAAGCACAGCAATAACACACACCAAGGTCACAAAGTGAATCAGTGGCGGAGCCAGGGTTCAAACAGTGGTCTAACTCCAAAATGTACGCTTTTTAAAAAGTATGGTAAAATACATATAAAATTTGCTATTTTAACCATTTTAAAGTGTATAATTCAGTGGTCTTAGTACATTCACATTTTATTCAACCACAACTACCCAGTTTCAGAAAATTTTCGTCCCAAAGACAACCTCATGCCCATTAAGCAGTCGCTCTTCATCCCCTTTCCCCTGAACCCCTGGCACCACTCATATGCTTTGTGTCTATGGAGTTCCCTTTTCTAGACATTTCTTATCAATGGGATCATACAATAGGAAGCCATGTGTGCTGCCTTCTTTCACTTAGCATAGTCTTTTAAGGTTCATCCATGTTGTAGGAGGCATCAGTACTTCATTCCCTTTTATAGCCAAGTATTAATCTGTTGTACCGCATTTCATTTATCCATGTATCAGCTGATGTACAATAGTGATACTATTGTGAGTAGTGCTGCTGTGAACATACAGGTACAATTTTTTGTTTAAACATCAGCTCTCAATTCTTTTGGGTAAGAAATACATAAACCTCTGCTAACTCCAAGGAGATGACCAAATATCTGAAAATCTATAGTCATTCAACAAACATGTACAGCTACCTAGAATGCTAAACATCATCTTTGTCTTCCTCCAGAACAACAGGAAATTGAATAAGTGAGTAAAACACAGATCTGGCAGCAGTTGGAGTTAAAGGTTCCTTTGCCATTTGCTATTAAAGGAAAGTAAAAGCCAGTAATGACAACCTGAGCAAAATGCTCTATCAGGATGCAAGAACCAAGGGACAACCAAAAGGAGATTAAACAATGATGGCATTTATCATCTCACCTAATAATAAGTTGACATAGGAAAGTTCCCAAGTGGGGTAAGTCAGCTGGTCAGACATCAAGGAACTAAGCTTTCTCCAATCTGCCTGTTCTGCCATCCTCATAGTCCCAATAAGGGACAGCAACTCTGTGCATCATGTCCTCCTCACATACAAGGACCAATGAACAGAAATGAGAAGATGGCAGAGCCCTTCTCAATCCCTTTTTAGGTACAAGGAAAATGCTCCCAGAAATCCTCCAGATATATTAACCCTCAGATCTGTTCTGCCAGATTTGCACCACAAGCCTATTCCTACACCAGTCATGGGCAAGGGAATGGAATTATAATTCACGATTTCGGACATTTTAAGATTGAGTGTGAGACTGTTAAGGCACCCAGCTTACCAGGGGTATACAGCCACCTTACACTCTAACGAAATTCAGGTTCTGGGAAAAGGTAAGAAGGAAAGGAAGGGATGTAGCATAGGCAACCGTGAGTGCCTGCACCAGTGTGCAGGCAAGACTTCCTGGAGGACAGTGAAATTCAGGGTCCTCTGAGCTCCGGCCCCAGTTGAATTAAAAACAACAAAATCTAAACCTCAAAATGTCCAAGACTGAACTCATAATCATCATCAAAATGGTCTCTTCTAGGGCTCTATTTTCTTGTGCATAGCACCACTATTACCCCCGCACAAGGCGGAAATAGGAGTCATCATACCCTGATCTTTTGTCTTCATCGCTCAAATCACCCAGTCCTGTTGAGATAACCTCAAAAATAGCTCCTCAATGTACTTCTTTCTTCACCTCCATTGCCACCATTCTCATCCAAGTCACTGTCAATCACTCCCTGGAGCTCTACAACTATCTGCTCGGTATCTCTGCATCCATTTTGATCTCCCTCCAAACTAGTCCACCTTGCAGCTGGTGTGGACTTCTCAAATACCCGCTCATGCTCAAAATTTGATTCCCACCAGAAGAATAAAGGCCAAAAGAAGGCCCAACTCTTTGCAATCCGTTCCATTGGTTTCCTTTGAGCTTGAATGAGTTCTGCTCCATCCCATCTCAAGACTCCTGCACAGACCCGTCGCTGCGGCCCCTGTCGTCCTTCAGATCTCAACTTAACCGTTGCTTCCTAGGGAAAGCCTTTCCAGGCTTCCCAATTAGACCAGGTCCCTCCGGACTGGCGCGGAGAGAAGTCTGCCTTTGCTTCAGGGCACTTTCGGTCTGCAGACTGTAAGATGTGTGAGAACAGGGAGCTAGGGACTCCTACAGTGTAACGCCCTGGCACATAGTGTTTACTCTGGGCTGCTGAAGGACTAACTGAATATACAAACTTCAAACAATTGTGGCCAATAACGAATGAAGACCCAGTCCCAGGGAGAACACAAAAGACATCCACGACCCTCCGCGAAGAGGAGCCGCGGGGACCACAGGACTCGTTGCTCCTCCCATTAGCTCCGCTCCTGACCCCGCCCATCCCTGCTGTGTCGGGGGAGGGGCATAGAGGTCGCGTGACGTGACAGCAGCCGGCCGCTGATTGGGCTTCCAGGACAACCGGCTCGAGAAGGGGGCGTGTCCGCGCGCTGATTGTTTGGCTGGCGGACGCTGGGCGGGGCGGGTGCGGCGGCGCGGGGGCGGGCACTGGGAGGGACGGGGGTCTGTGGGCGGGGGAGGGGCGGCCGCGGCGGCGGGTTGGGTTCTCGCCGCCGGCTGTGCTGGGGCTTGCTCGCGTGGGCTGCGCGGCGGGCCCGCAGTGGCCGCGGCGGCATGAAGGGCGCCCTGGGCAGTCCCGTGGCTGCCGCCGCCGCAGGCGCTGCGATGCAGGAGAGTTTCGGCTGCGCCGTGGCCAACCGCTTCCATCAGCTGCTGGACAACGAGTCGGACCCGTTCGACATCCTTCGCGAGGCCGAGCGTCGGCGCCAGCAGCAGCTCCAGCGCAAGCGGCGCGATGAGGCAGCGGCGGCCGGAGCCGGCAGTCGAGGTGGTAGGAGCCCGGCCGGGGCCTCGAGCCACAGACCCGGCGCGGGCGGCGGCCGGAGGGAATCCCAGAAGGAGCGCAAGAGCCTCCCCGCCTCCGGCGCGTCTCAGCCGGACAGCCCCGGGGGCGGCCCGCAACCGCCCGGTACGCGCCCCGGTGGGCGCGGGGGCTGAGGGCAGGGAGCGAGTCACGGAGGTCACCCACTCGGCGCCCTCGGAGGCGGGGGTCTCAGTCGGTTCTATCCTGGTGGGAGCCCCGGGGAGGGTCCCCGCGGCCGAGGAAGGTGGACGGGGGCAGGCGTGTCACGCCCCTTCTGGCCTCGGCCGGTCCCTACCAGGCGTGAGGAGCCCAGGCGCGGGGTCGGGGTCCCGGTCCCGGGGCGGAGCCTGCACAAGTTGGACAAAGTTGAGGGGTGTCGCGGTGGTGCTGTGCGGATCTATGCACCGGAGCAAGCGGGGACCTTCTCCATCCTCCTTCGCAGACTCTGCGGGCTCGGGTCGGGAAGCCGAGAGCGGCCGGGAGGGCGACGCGGGGGCGGGCTCGGGCCTGTGACGGAGGGAGGCCCGGCGGCCGCGGGGGCGGCTGTGACGTCAGGGCCGCGGTCCCCGGCGCCTCGCGGGCGCCGTGCCTTCACCCGCAGATAGCGGGTGCTGTGGACGGGGTGGAACTCGTTAACTCGGGCTGCTGTAAGAAAAGCGTAACCTTTTCAACAGGAACGTGCAAAGTTGCCCGTCGCCTGGTTAACCAGAAGGCCGCGTGCATAGCTCTGATATTCTGCTCTCTGCATCCAGGGCGGAGGGTGCCTAGGGGACCTTCCCCACCTGAACCGCATCAGTGGCAGTCTGCAGCGGCCCTAAGGTTTCCCGAAAAAGTGTTAAAATTAAGATGTGCGTGGTTTGACCACTCCTGCCAGTGCTTGGCAATGTATTCAACTCGGTTTTACTGGCTTGGTTCTTGCTTGATAAAACTTGTGCATACCAGCCCAGATTTCAGTGTTGGGGCTTTGACTCCTGCAGCTAGGTAATGTTTACCTTTATCTGTGAAAAGTTAAGCAATAGCACTTTAGATTCAGAAAATGAAGTCACTATAGTAAAGGTGTTGAAATTATTTTAAATGCTATTGGACATCTCAAGACCCCTTGGTAGGCCAGTACGTTTATCAGCATGTTTAAACAGTGAGACTGGAGATATGTTGTTCATTTTGTGTTCTATTGTTTCTCAAATTTATTTAAATATAGTTATAAAAATTGAGGGAGGCTAAGCTGTTCTCCCTTTTTTAACAAGTGAAAGTAATGTATTTTATGCAGTGTGAAACTGCATTTAGTGCTGTTAATATATTACTTTTTAATCTTTAATATTAAGAATCACACATTTTGTTAGAAAAATTTTAACAGTTCAGAAATGAATGTAGTGAAGTGAAATTCCCCTTTTTCCTTACTGTTAACATCTTGCATTTATATATGTAAATGCACAGAGCAATTTCTCTTTTTTCTAAATTTAAATGTTATAAACGGGTTTACAACCTGCTGCTTTCACTTAGAATCATAATCTAGTATGTTTATAACTTCTTGTCTGTCAGCTCATGATCCAGGTGATCTGACTTTGAGATCTATATTAAAGACTTTCAGTTAATTTTGTAGTTATTTTGTCATTCTAGTTCTTTTTCAAGTATGTGTTATTTCAGCAGCAAACAGTTCATTAATTTTCATTTATGTAGTTACTCTACTAAATTTATAGAGAGCTACTCTCTCAAGGTTTTGTAGCCCTAATTGGTAAGGACTGAATTTTTCTAGTACTCAAAATGTTTAGCATATTGTAAGTGAATGTTTAGAGACAAGAATCAAAGTCAAAACATGGTTGACATATAATGAAAACATTTATTAATCTCAAAAGGATGTGGAAATTATAAGAGTTTCCCCTGGAAACAGAGGTTGTTAATATCCTTCACTATTTAGCAATATACATAGACCCTGGGTGAATCTTGCTCAGTAACTCATTCTTGAAGTTCTCAGAGGCTGTTTTAGTTCTCCTTTCCCTAGCCTTTCAGAACTGTTGTCTCTGAGTCATATCTCAACTTTTTTAGGAAATCTCACTGTAAATTTTCTTGTACTCTGTTCCTTCATATGGGTGTATGTTTAAATCAGTGATTGGACTGCATGTGTCAGCCCTTTGTTGGAAAGGGCTAGAGAAATTCATTCTTTGCATTATTTACTGGAAGCTGCTGAACCAGCACAAAGAACAAGCCAGGTTTGGTTGCAGTCTTGACCTCTTAGTACTCAGCTGTGGGGGAAAGTGGACGCCTGTAACCTTGTGTTTTGGATTTAGAGGGAGAATGAAATGTTTGCAGGGTATTGATAATTATTGAATAAGTCATAAAGATGGTCATATTTAATAGTTTTCACTTTACATACAAACCTGGGAAGAGCTTTTTAATACAAAGTATTGCAGTAATGTCATTTAGGAGTTGAATGATGAATTCCAAATTTAATTGATACCATTCTAGAAGCAAAAAGAAGGTGGGATAAGCTCCTAAGTCATTCTATAGTTGAATGGAGAAAAAATATTTTTTAATTAGTGATTATAAATAGGAAATTTGAAGCTGTATTAAAAGGAAAAATATTAAAAAGTGTCATTAGTGTTGATATATTGCTGATGGCTATGTGTCATAGTGTATTACAGTTCTCTAATAGTATTTTGCACCTTAGTTTTCAAGTACCTCTTCCAAATTTGGTACCTGGTAGCAATATTTGTGCCCTCAGATCTGAAGTTGCATATTTCTGGGATGTGTGTCAGCCTGTTTTGTTTGTGCCATAAAAGCATAATGCTCTATTTATGATACCATCTTCCCTATATCCTAAACATGTTCCAAGCTCAGACTGTAACTTCAGTATGGGGTGTAGGTCTGATTTAAGCATTTCTACGTTATAGGACATTAAGATTGAACTTAGATTTGTTGTGCAACTTTTCACATATGGAAAAAAGTACTTTATATTAACAAGTAGCAAATTGCACGATTTTATATTAGTGTTGTCACAGGTATGATTTTTGCTTTAGAATGAGATCATGAGGTCTTGGAACTTTGTCAGTATTTACATGTGCCCAGTTTATAAAGTTTAGATGGAAAATATTAAGTAGGAAAAGAGAAAAATACATTCAGTGTGTTTCTTTAAAAGTCATGTATATCTGTCTAGGAATCCAGCAGTTAAAAGAATACCCATAATTAAAAAATGTCAAATATTTTTATAGCCATAGAACCAATGTGAAGCCATAGAACTTTATACCAAGAAAAATCAAAGCTATATAATAAAAATTGGCCATCATGTTTTGAGATGGAGACCTTTTAAGTGTATACAAAGAGAAGATAAACACTTTGGGAAGATGATTTAAGAAGTGACAAGGTTCTTCACAACATATCTACCAAGTATTAGGTGCCTTCAAACATAGACTCTGCTTACTATTGTTCAAGGATCAGAACTAAAGAGGAGCACAGTGAGAGGGCAGACTGGGGTGGCCCAGCTGCTCCCATGCCCAGGCGAGTGCTAGCCTGTCCATGGCTTCTCCCTGGGCAAATGATGCCCATTCAATGCTGACTGGGGGCATTGAAAAAAGATAGCAGTACAAACTATTTAAAAACAAAAACCTTGGTGGCTAATGATAAACCAACCTAGTTGCAGTTCTAAAAGTATGACCTGAAATGTAGGGTTTTTAATACTTTAGCTTTCTGGATGGAGCTTAGCTCCCATGTTTTGATAAAGCTGTTATTGTGAAATGTCGTTTGTTTAGCAAAGATGTATGTCCATAGCTGTCACAGAGTCCTTGGGAGATACCTATAATTATAACTTAGTTGGTATAGTATATATATCTTCTTATACTTTCCAGGACATAAAGAGAAACATGATTCAATAGTAACTTCAAAGTTTTATTAACAAGTAGTTCACTCTGGGCAGTAGTATGAGCGACTTGTTTTCTTCTAAACTTTTCCGAATTTCCCAAATTGTCCTTTGTCACTGATGTCTAGGGAAGAGGGAAATTTACAAGTACCTGTAGCTGTGCAGGCGAAGACCTCATGTGCCGACTCCCCCTCTGATTTTTCACTGGCAGGCCAGAAGCGGACTCCAAGGAGAGGGGAGCAGCAAGGATGGAGTGATAGCCGGGGCACGGAGGTGACACTTGAGAGAGCAGAGCGGAGACCCTACAGGGAAAGTCGACCCTATGAAACTGAGAGGCAGGCCGACTTTACACCTGAGAAATTCACAGATGAAAAGTACGTCCTGCAGACCTTGGTGTGTGGGGGGACAGGCCTCAGAGTGTTCTCTGGGAGCTGCTAGCCTGTGGGACCTCTTGGTGGTACAGCCCTGGGAATATTTTGCCCATTTAAGAAGCAAAGCATCCTACTTCAGGTGACACAAGAAGGAGCTTTCATTTATCTCAGGGATGAGCTTACGTCTTGATTCAGGAAATGATTGTAAGGGGAAAAGTGAATTAGTTATTCCTAACAGAAAAGCACTCTCATAAAAATTACACTGGAGTATATTAAACTGGTTAGATAGTCTGTTGAAGCTTAGGCTAGGAATAAGTGTTTTTGATTTAGCATTGCTAATTTAGACTACTAACGAACTTACATCTCTAGCCACACATCAGGTCCATAGGCCATCATGAAGGCATCCACAGGAAAACTAAAATAATGTGTAAGTCCCGTTTCCAGCTCCCAGACCTTCTCTGGGAAGACAGTGTGGGGCTGGTGCAGTTTGACACCCCCTCTGAGGGATGAGGCAGCGCGCAGGCCATGTGCCCCCTGACACACACACACACAGGGGCAGCAGTTTCTCTTGTCAGGCTTGGCCTTAACGAGACAGATGCTGGCTGCCTGAAGCTTCTTTCAGTTGTTAAACCTGCAGAGCACTGAGTTTAGATTAAACTGAAACAGCTTGTGAATCACATTTAAAGGAAGATGAGGTAAAAAAAAAAAAAGCTGAGGGAGACAAGAATAGTGTATGATTTGATGTCAAGGGAGCCATGATACCCGAAGTCCTTGAACTTCCTGACTACTAATTCCATTTAGGATCCTGGCTACAGGTTTTAACTAAAGAATATGGCTTTGTAAACCCGCGCTCTGGAGTCCATTAAAACAAACTAACCCAGAAAGAGCCCGGCAGAGAAAGCTCAGCTGGGAGGGCCACGCAGGTGGGGTCTGCAGATCATTCCCTAAGTGCACGTCCACACATCAGGACAGTGGAGGGTCAGGGTCGGAGAACAACTGTGTTCTGCTGTGTGTGTGTGTGATTGCTTCAGATTTGCTGTGTAATGGCTGCAGTCTGCTTGGTTACAAAAAGCCTTCTGGGTCAGAGCTGCTTATTTTGGGAAGCATTTGTGTATTTTTTTTCTCCTTACTTCAGGGGTTTATTCTGTGGAAATAAAGAAATTACAGCTCAAAAGCACGAACCCATGTTTCTAGTTTTTTTTCGTAGCAAAACTGGATCTTTTAAAAGGATAAGATAGGTCTTTATATGTTAACATGGAAAGTTGCCTGTTAAGTGAAACCATACAGTGTATGAGGGTAGGGATGGGGTGGGATACGGGATTGTGAGGATTTCTTCTTTTTTCTTTAGAAATACTTTCATATTTCAGAAAATTGCAAGAATTATGTAAAGAATTCCCATATGACCTTATCCAGATTCCCACCACATTTGCTTTATCCTACCCCTTCCTCCATCTTTCCTCCTCTCTCTCTCTCTCCCTCTCACACACACATACACACACACACACACACACACACACACACATTTGCTCTTTGTCATTTGAGGTAGGGTACCAAATGTCTCTAGATACTTTAAATGTGTTTCCTAAAAACATGGTACAATTTTTTGTATTCATTAACATTGCTATAATACTATAATTCTCCAAATTGTACTATCTACACACTAAGATTGTACCAGTTGTCCTAATAATGTCCTTTTAGAACAGTCCAGAATCTGGTTTTGTCTGTATCCGCTCCCTGGACAGAGGTATATGCTTTGCAGGGAACAACGCAGCATGAAGTCTGATGTCCTTCTCAGTGTGCGCATTACAAATACACATTGGGGGATTTTTACTTCCAAGGAAATTTGAAAAGTTTTTTGATCAGTCATGTGCTATCAGAAAAGGTATGTTCCTTAGTTTCTTAAACAGTACTCTTCTATTAATTAAGGTCCATAAGATCTTTAATAAAAATGAAGTTACTTTAAACAATTTAGAAAATACATAAAATATAAAGAAAATTAAAACTGTCTATTTACCATCTAAGATGATTACTCTTCCTATCTGGCCTATTTTCTTCCTTTCTTTTTTATGCATAGGTAGATGTTAAGATGACAGTACATATACACTGAACACTTTATACTCTTTCTTCCCACTGACTTAGCAGAAGCCTTTTCCATTTCATTCACAATGTTTGGTAAGCATTTTAATAATTTTTTTATGTCTGTTGTTTGGATGTATTATGATGTTACCATTCCTTTAGTGTTAGGCCTTTACTCAGCTTCCAGCTCTTTATTTTATAAAAATACCCAGTGAGCAGCTGTTTATATATGTAGGGACTTCCCTGGATGGAGATCTGGAAGTGGGAATCCCAATGAGGGTCCCAAAGCAGAGTTCCCAGTGGGGTGTCGTCTACCCACATCGGTGCAAGGGCAGATAGGAATATATAGCATAAAAACAAAATCAGGGCCAGGGGCTGCTCAGACATAGTGACAAATACTATCCTGGTAATCTGTTGACTTACTCCATCACTAATAATCTGTAAGAACATTTCTCATAGTACTGTCTTTAGACTTGAATATATAATAAAGTTTGATCTTATTTGGTAGTGAAAAATAGTACCATCTTGCATTTCTACGATTCTGTGTATGTTTATTGGACAGAATTATAGAACCTCGTCAGTCTTAGCAGACTAATTCAGTACTCTCGATTTGTGGAGGAAACAAAGACCGAATGTTTCAGTAATGTCTACTCTGGTCACAGCCATGTGACATGGATTTTTTTCTGCTAAGGCGAAACGTGTTTTTTCACGTAGAAGCAGTATCATAAATGGTGCTGAGAATAACTAGCCTTGTGGCTCAAGTGTGGAATCAGCCACATACAGTCTGGGCATGCAGCCCCTGGGCTTAATGCTGTAGGCATTTCCTTTAGGTGCCATATGATGAACTTAAGGGAACTGTCAACACAGACTCTTAGGAAGTTAGTCTGCCTCTGTCTAGATACATTTGGCTTTTTGTGTGATTTACTGCTGGTCATTTCAAGTCATATCCAGTAATGAGGAATCACTTATTAGGATATTTAAATTGTTTTCCCTCTTCATAAGGAAGCATTTTTCAAAATTGTAGTAAAATATACATAACATAAAATTTACCATTTTAACCACTTGACCAGTACAAGTCAGTGGCATTAAGTACCTTTACATTGTTATGCAGCAATCACGACCTCCTGCTCCAGAGCTTTACCATCTTCCTCAGCTGAAACTCCTTACCCCTTAAGTCCCATTCCCACCCCTCTATGAGCCTCATTTCCTTTACACAAATAAAACAAGTACTTGTGTCTGCTTATTAGAATTGTGCCCTTGCAAAGCAGGACACTGGCCCAAATGCTGGTTTGCTTGTTTGCTTGTGAATCCGTCACAAATAAAACTTGATAAGTGTAGTACAGGATTCCCCAAAGCTCACCAACCTGTAACAAAAGAGGATATAACTTATGAGAAGACGATTACAAGAAGCAATTGAGAATATGTTTAATTGGGGGTAAGGGTGGGGGTGAACCTGTGGAGTAAAGAAAAAGTGGTTTAAGGGATTAAAATACACTGGAACACACAGCTATTTGTAAGGTTGATTTCAATTACATTTTAAATGAATTTGTATGTTTTAATGCCTGATCTAGATTTCATGTAAATTCAAACCTGACTTTGATGGTTGGCATGGTTTTCCATGTATGTCTTTCATTTCCTCTCAGTTTTTAGGTAGACTTTTTTCTTTTATGGCCTGTTCAGCTTCCTGGTTGAGAATCTCCTGTTCCTTTTGCCATTGTTTTATAACTCTGATTTAGATATTTACTGTAATGTGTAATAGAGTTTACAACAATTTCTATTTAAATTTTCCTTTTGGTCAAGGGGGTGTAGGAGACAAAAAAGCCAAGTTGGAGAATTTATTTAGGATGGTGCTTCTTATAAGAGACTAGGCTACAGTATGACCAGTGCATCTGAATTTATCTTTTTGAGCAAGGAGAACTGTGAGTTTTCTTGCATCTTTTTACTGGCTATCGTATGCTAGGTTTTTAGTGTAACAGTCTCATCCATAGAAGTAGACTGTGACATCCTCCAGTTTTGGTGTTTGGGCCACTAATGCCACTAGATTCCAGTAGGTCATTTGTTGTCATTTTAAATGTTTTTCAAAGCCTTGACAAATGGAAAAATATAATTCATATTATTAAACTACATTTATAACAATGAGAAAGACTGGTCCTCCCTCCAGGAACTTCATGTCTAGTGGAGGAAAGGCAAGTACTCATAGGAGGTGCTGATGACCAGAGAGAGAAGTGGATGGGCTCTGGATCCAGGGTATGTGGCAGTGGGGGGATGGAGGCATGGGGAAGAGATCCGGTTCCCTTGGGTGCTCTTGTGTTGGGAATTAGGGACCGTAGGAGAAGCAAGGGGTTGGTGTCTGGCATGCACCTGCAGGGGCGGGGAGATCCAGGAGGTAACTGGCTCTGTGGCCTGGAATCAGAACTCCCCGAATGAGACACACAGGGTCACATGACTGAGGATCATCTCGAATTAGTAAAGAGATGAGGACGATGTGTACAAGGGGTGGGCAGTCAGGAATATGCCCCATAGCACTTCAGGACAAACAGGTCCAGAAGATCAGGGCAGCGCTGCGTGCAGAGCACCAAGACACGGGATGTGCAGACAACATTGGAGAATTAGGATGGTGCTTCTTATAAGAGACTAGGCTACAGTATGACCAGTGTATCTGAATTATAGGTGCAGAGCTTCCCTTTGTGTGACGGAGCAGCTGCCTCTGAGGAGTGGAGGGTGACTTGAGGGGCAAGGGGATCTGGTGGTTTTTCAGTGTGTTGGAGTATTGCCTGTCACAGAGTTAGCTTTTTGCAAACAGGCAAAGAAAGAAAAACCAGAGGGTTCAGAGGAAAATCAGTGGTCAGCCATGTCAGATGACGAATAGGGCTCCCATGACTTAAAGACAAACGTCGCTGCTGGACCTTTGGGAGATCCTTGGAAGTTTATGTGGAGCAACTGGGGTGGAAGGCAGGTTATAAGGTTTCCAGCCCCAGACATCAGTGACTGGTCGTATGTTTGGGAGAGGGAGATGGGCCTTAAGTATCAGTATTAGACGTTTCTGTTTGGAAGAGGGAGATGGGCCTTAAGTATCAGTATTAGACGTTTCTTTACCTAACCTCCTCATTTTATGAATGAGAAACCCATCCCGAGAGGGGTGCCGCTCTGCAGACAAGCAGAGACCTGCCCAGTCCCTGCTTCTCCTGCAGGCTCCCCTGCAGCTGCTGGGACCTGAGCGAGTCACCTACCTCCTAGGTGCTGTGGTTTGTGTGTGAGGTGCTCAGGACGACACCAGGGATAGTGTGCGTTTAGTAAAAGCTAACCATGAATTTATTACTCACACCACAATTCTTTCCAATACACTGTAGCCATAATGTCCTAGTTTTTTTTTCCTCAAAAAAGCCTTAGCCTTTCAGTCCAATTCACCACCTTTTATTGCACCCATTTCTTCCTAGACCAGTGGACAGGTTTGACCGAGAAAGACCACTGCGAGGCCGCGGAGGCCTGAGAGGGGGCCTGCGAAGCAGAGGCAGAGGTGGTCCCGGGAGCAGAGCTTTCGACAGTTTTAACCAGAGAGGGAAACGAGAATTTGAGAGATACGGTGGGAATGATAAAATGTGAGTCTCTTTGTAAATTTCTATTTTGCCTTTAAGATCTTGGTGATACATGGCACGAATCTGTTGCATGTTCGTATTTAGTTGACTTTTTATTAGTATTTAGTTTGCTGTTCTTCCTAAGGGGGCTGATTCTGGGTCAGCTTTTCTGATTTGGAGCTTGGAGATGAGCTTCCAGCCTAAGGGAACATTCTTTATTTCTCTAGAGTAATCAGAGCTGAAGACAACTTGGGCGGATGTGGAGTTCGCACCTGGGGGTCAGGTAAAAATACCAGGTATGGTGCAAATGTGTGCCTTCTGTGTACCTACAATTAAACGGAACCCTCTGGATCTTTATCTGCTCTTCTTGAAAATTACATCCTCTGTGTTGTGCTTGCAGTGTCTTTATACTTATGTGCCCTTAAGCAGAGATTGATTTTAGACTTTTGTTTAGTATGATAACTTTTTAAAAAGTATTTGCTGTGTTGCAATTAAATTTGAACACTGCTTTTAAAATTCTTTTATTTTAGCCAAGCAGGTTTCTGTCTTTGCAGATGCACCAGGCACATAGCACTCCACATTTGCATATGCCTTAGAATAGTTTCTAAATTCCAGGCTAGTCTGTATTTTTCTATGACCTTCCAAGTTCTTATATACATTGCATTTTGAGTTTATGAAATCATGGCCAGATTGAACAGCTCAATGACAAGTTTCATCTGAGGTACAAATTTAATGTTTCTCAGAGGCTTCCTGGTGCCTCAAATCTGTGCCAGTTTTTTTCCCTGGAGGAGGTGCCTGATTCTGCTGTTTCACAGCTGCAGGGACATGCCTTCCTGGTGTCCATGAAGGAACAGGCAGGGCAGGGCAAGGAGTGGATCCTCAGAATGTGTTTCCTGGCAGACTTCCCTCAAGTTTGCAGGCTTGAGGGGGTCCAGACTTCCACTTTCTTTCTTTTGAAGAACAGAAGCTTTCTGTAGGAACTTATTTTTCTTAAATTGTCTTTAAAGACTAATGTGCAAAACAATATCAAATATAGTATTAGACTTACTACCATTGCACATATGTGTTGTCCTTGAAAGGAAATTTGTTGAGTGTTTCTCAGTCTGGGGTTCCACAGGATCTTGATTACAAATCCTTTAATTTTGTTTTATTTTGCTTTAGAAGCCCCACCATCTGAATCATCTGATTTACCCCCTTATCTAAAACTATCACTCCATATCAGTTTACATTTGAATGAAAAGTCATTTTGGCTCCGAATGCTTACGTACCCTAAGGGGGTCATCACTGGCCTTATGACATGGAGAGGGGACCACATTTTCCTGGTGGACTGACATCTGCCGACGCCAAAATAATACATATCCCATACCATTTGGATTGATTTATGAATTACAAGTCAAAGCTCTTAGGTGTCAATAATTTGTAATTGAAAATTTTTCATAGAATTAGACTTGAATTTCTTATTTTATACAGGCCTACCTTGGAGATACTGTGGGCTCAGTTCCAGCCTACCGCAGTAAAGCAGATAGTGCAATAAAATGAGTCAAATGAATTTTTTGGTTATATGGTACATATAAAATTGTGTTTACACACTACACTCTAGTCTGTGAAGTATGCAATGGCATCATGTCTAAAAGACAATATATCTTAATTTAAAAATATTTCATTGCCAAAAAATGCTATCACCCAAGCTTTGAATGAGTCATAGTCACTGATCACGGATCATCATAACAAATAAAATAATGATGAAAAAGTTTGCAATAGTGTGAGAATTAACCAAGCGACACAGACACAGTAAATGAGCAAATGCTGTTGGAAAAATGGAGCCAATGACTTGCTGGATTCCAGGTTGCCCCAAACTTTCAGTTTTCAAACAGCACATTATCTGTGAAGCACAGTAAAACAAGGTGTGCATCTCAAGTGAGGTTTGGATTTTGGTCCCGATAACAGTGCTGTGTGGTGGGGTTATGTGGGTTATGTGCTCCATTTGATCACTGAGAAAGGAGCAGAGGGGAGCGTCACACAGTAAGTGATGTGTTCCTGACTGGCAAGTCCATATGCTGCATGGATCCTCATAGGTGTGAAGGTTTGGTCCACAGTTGGTGTTTCTGTTGGAAGGCGTTGGCGGTGAGAGCTGGATTCGCAGACAAGATGCTAGCGGGTGGTGAGACCAAGCCAGTCCCCGCGTTACTGGTTTCCTTCAGCAGTTTGACAGCGAATGCCTGTGTTGAACACTGAATTGTCTCCATCCTCCCAAATTTTGCTATGAAGAGCAAGACGGGTTTATGCAGTAGGCAGGCAACATTTGATTGAAATCTGTTCTCAGCCATAGATTTGGTTAAGTGTGACGTTTGATGGATTTGAGCTAGATAACAGAGCCTGGAGGTGTTTAACACTGTGTTGTGGAACATCTTGCACACACAGGCATTCTCAGCCTTAGCTTAACTGAACTCAAAATACAGACATGGTCACAGGGCTCTACTGCTCCAATAAATCCAACATGGGCAGTTTACATTCAACAAAGTAACAATCTGCCTGAATTAATTGTTGCTAATTTTGAAACTTCATTGCTTTGTAGTTTTGGTCATAAGAGCTATAAGCACAACATTAATTTTATGTTAATTCATAAAATAACTAGGTCAATGCAGGAGGAAAATCTGTGATTTTTCTTTTCTTTAAAATCAGATCCTGAAGATTAAGAAATTCTGGTTTTTATAGAATTTCTTTGTTTTGTATTCTGCTTTTTTCCTCCCCTTTATATTCATAGCCTTCTTATGATTTGAAAGCAATGAACTGTGTTTTTATCTTCTTGGTTTATTGGGTGGCCAAGGGCATAAAGAGGAAGTCGGAGCAATTCAGCACCACCAGCTGGACCTTGGGGCTTCTGGACGCTAACATGTCCCTGCCCAGCTCAGGCTCACATGCAGAGGCAGCCTTCATGAGTGGGCCTCGCCAGGCAGAGTCTTCCTAACAGAGTGCATTTGATTTAGGACCTTTCTTTGAAGTAAACTTTAGTCATTCAAATGTTGTGTTAAAGAACTGACTTTTTTTTTGTTGTAAGTCGATTACAATAGCTTTGAGTTGAGAATAAAACAAATTTTAATGTAAAAAAGTCTATTCCATTACTACAGTTCAATTTATGTTACCTTTTTACAAAATCCTGCTTTATGAAGCTTTTTCCTGAAGCTTTTTTACTTTTCCTGACAAGTACCAGGTTCTATATGTAGAGTTTTGGTCATAAGATATGACCAAATATTTCTAATGGATATACTTATATTGAGTAATTTTAGCATTTCCTGAAAATGAGATTTTGCTGGGATAGTGGGGTTTTTTTTAAGTAATGCTCAGGCGAGATAAATTTAGCATGTGTGGGTAAATTGTAATATTTCCAGAATATCCCTGCATATCCTCAGGGGTGAAGAGAAGTTCATCTCCATATGAATGGGTAATTACCTGGGCACCCTAGGGCTTATCTGAACCTGAGAGGCTGGGAGGAGGTCCTTGCTTGCTTCTGCTGGAGCAGGAGAGAGAGATGGCCTGGACTGCAGTTTGTAAGCAATAAACAAGTTTTAAACTTTATTTCTCTCATTGACTGATTTTGGTTTTTAGATGTATTTTGCCCTGGGATTTCCTCTCCCTGGGCTTACATCTGGTGTTAGTCAGCAGGATTCCACTGAACCTGAAATCTGTCGTAATGCATGCGACCTTTGGGAAGGCTGCTCCTACAGATGACAGGGAGATGCCAGGAAGCCCCCCTGTGGATGGTGGAGAGGCCCCAGTGGATGCAGCAGTAGAGGTGGCAGCTTCACCTGTTATCCCCCCAGGTGTGGGGTTTCCAATTTGGGAGCCCCTAGTGGGGAATTGGTCTAGAGTAAAGTACCTCCTGGAGGGGTGGAACCTTCCCCAGAACTGGGGAAGGGTGGAACCACAGGAAGCTGCAGAATTAGCCCTCCGTGAGTTGGAAGACTGCTTGGAGACCTTAGGGGGCCATGTAGTAGCTGGCATTGTAGGGTCTCTTTTCATCGAGATAGTGGAAAATGTTATGCAGAAAAAAGAGGATTATCAAGAGGGTTAGCAAGGAGAGAGAGGGACTTTGGCAGGAGAGACACACTAGAGCATCACTTGGAGGAGCTGGGCAATAACCTATGGGATGCTGTTAAAGAAGAGAGACCGTTACTGAAAAGGCAGGTCACACTCCTAGAAGATTCCTCAGCAGCAGTGAGGGGGGGTTACAGGAAAAGCCCAATTGCAGGAGGCTTTGGGGGAGGTGGAGGAAAGAGAGGTGCCTTCAGCCCCAGACATGGTGGAGGAGCTGTTCGTGGAGGAGCCCAAGGGAGAAGAGGAGGAGGTGTTGCCATGGGCGGATGCCATCCTCTCAGCTATTTTAAAGGCCTGCCCAGCTGCAATTAAGAAAATAAAAAAGAAATAACTGAGGGCTCCTCAGGGGGAGGAGCCGCCCCCTCCCCAGGTTATGGAGCACTCCATGCTCCCCCCCTTTACCCAGGATGAGCTGGTGGACATGAGCGTCTGGTATAGGCAGAGGCCATCGGAATCTCTGCCTACATAGCTTTTACGTCTCTGAAATATGGGGGTGGAAAACATTGTTATGTCGGGTACTGAGATGAGTAGAATGGCTTCCCAGATGACTCACCCTTCCCTCCGGCAGTGGTTGCAAAATGCCCATCATGCCTCCAAGCAGTCCCCACCACATCTCCCAAGGTGGGGACTTTCAACTACCCCCCAGTCGAACTACAATGGAATGACTGACAGCTGCCATCAGGGTAGTTTGACCTAATCAGGGTGATTTACCATATTTTCCCAGTAGTTGGAAAACGTATGCAGAGATCCAACAGGTACTGCAGGAATTGGGTATGAAAAATGTCATCTCTAATATGGACCCCCAGGGCCCTGATGAGGAAGTGTGCACTCTAGGAATGAGAAATCTGGTGCTGCATACAGCTCCCATGTCTCTCTTTGGGTCCCCAGTGACTACTTTTGCCCCATACATAGGACAACCCATAAGTGAGACTACTTGTACTTTAGCAGATATGGGGAAGGTTGAAACAATAAGGGCACAGAGAGAAGCGCAGGCCACTACTGAAAGGAGAAGTACAAAGGGCTCCGTGAAGGTCTCGAGGACCCAGATGTGTGTTGATTTGATAAAGGCCAGGGTAATGAAAGAAAAACTTGATGGACAGCCCAATAGAATATTGTTAGAACTGTGGCAGCAATTAAAGCCAGAGCAGCAGTTCCAGCCATTGAGGTCCAGGACCCAGAAACCAAAGTCAAGGCCTCAAGC